CGCTGTCCTAACTGCCAGGACACTTCGCGAGACGCTTCAGCTGCCAAGAAGAGGGAACACGTGTGCCATGTTCCAGGATGTGGCAAGCTCTACGCCAAGACTTCTCACCTCAAGGCACATCTGCTCTCGCACAGCGGAGAACGCCCCTTCGTGTGCCACTGGATCTTCTGCAACAAGGCCTTCACTCGATCCGACGAACTTCAGCGCCATCTCAGAACGCACACCGGTGAAAAACGTTTCCAGTGTGAAGAGTGCGGAAAACGTTTCATGCGTTCTGATCATCTGAACAAGCACGTCAAGACGCACCAGAACCGACGCGCCCGTCTTGCTTCTGCTCCTGCCGAAGGTGACGACGTTGACGTGGAACTGTGTGACGATGAGGAGTTTCTCTCCGTTACTCTGCCAGACTCTCCCGTGTCTGAGACGGATTTTCAAGAGGATGATGTAATTGGGAATGACCAGATACAAAGCATCAGCCAGCTTCTATGAAATCAGTAAATTTATAGGTGAACCTGTTATGTACCTTGTGATTTAGAATAAGTAAATAATGTCTTATTGAAATATCTGTTTTACATCTGAAACCTCAGATTTCCCCCGTATACAAGAGAGAAATTACTCATGGAAAACGCAGATGCATCAGATCAAACGCCTTATATGACATGGACATTTATAAATTCCAGTGAGAGATTACAAATGATAATTTAACCAGACACACATGTTCGAGATAATTTATTGATGTGAGTTTACGCAGAATTTTATATTCTTTTCTATCGACAATTAAAATAGATTTTTTTTCATAGCAGCAAATAAATGAAAACCGAGAAAGCCTCTGGACACTACATAATTGTAACAACGACAAAAATTAGAAAAAAAATAAATAAATAAAAAAATAATAAAAACATGAGGAAATGACACAAAAAAAAATAATAATAATAGGAAGATAGACTCCCACTGACATTTTGTTAATTGTCGCGAACTTGTTATTGTCAAACTGGTGATTCACAAACAAATAATTGTTGCTAATGTATATATGGATACCTACGCACATGAAAACATATGTATACACGCATATATATAAGTATATGTGTATACACGCACACACACACACACACACATATATATATATATATATATATATATATATATATATATATGTATATGTGTATGCACACACACATACACACACACACACACACACACACACATATGTACACGGGATCCTCGGTTTACAACGGTCTCGACTTTCGACGTTTCGTGGATGCGACGTGTGTGGTATTTACACTGTCTTCCGTGTGTTCCTTTATCCCTTGTTATGTTCATGTACGTCATAGAAGTGTCTTGAATACATGTATACATACTGCATTAGCATATAGGAATGATTTCGGTGCTTATGTATGTATGTACATGTACTGTATTTAGGTGTGCGTCGACGTCATCGTATTAACGGATCTCCGTCGTAAGTCAAGGACCCTCTGTATATGCATATATATATATATATATATATATATATATATATATATATATGTGTGTGTGTGTGTGTGTGTGTGTGTGTGTGTGTGTGTGTGTGTGTGTGTGTGTGTGTGTGTGTGTGTTTGTTTGTGTGTGTGTGTACAAATATATACATAGACATATACACAAAAAATTATGATATATACCATCTATGTGTGCGTGTCTCGCCTGGAATCTAAATAGTTACCCTTGTTTGAAATTAGGTGATATCCGAAAATGAGAATTGGTTATCACTCTGCAAGGCGCCCATTCCTCATCCTCTTTGGCTTATCTCAACCTAAGAATATCAAATGTTTGTGGCAATTGTGCATCAGTGCATCAGCAGTATGCTCCTCTGGTAAAGAATATACGAAATATATTACATACATAATTCATTTGAATAAGCAAGCAATTATATGTTCAGCTGTTTACATTTGTGTAATCATTTGTACCTGTGAGGTGCATAAACAATGTGTCTGAAGTAGAAACAATTTATTGTAGTTTATGCAATTTAGTAAGCACTGAATAGCATTAAAAAAAGGTTGCAGTTTGGATCACTATATGAAGTATATCATTTGTTATTCTCTGCGGTAAAGTAGTTGGCCAAGACACCCTTTTCTAATGATGAATCGTCATACAAAACAAATATATTTTTCAAATGCATAAAAAAACGGTTCGTTATTCATTCAAATCAAAACAGCAGGTCTCTATTTTCAGAGAAGGCGGAACAGAGGGCGGAGAAGTGGCCACGGGCGGCGTAGGGGCCCGGGCAGGAGGGGCCATGGGCGGGGCTAGAGGCCCAGGACACGGGCCAAGGGCGGAGCGCGGCGAGTAACAAAGAGGTTGAACTCGATCATGACCTCATCATCACCTGTTCCGTGTTCATTGTTACTTGATTTATGATCCGGAACCAATTTCTCAATCACTGCCGCTAAAAGAAAGATAGTGAAGGGCTTACTTTAAAACGCTTGTCATTTTGCTGTAGAATATATGAGTATTTAAATCAAGAACTTTTATAATGGACGTTCAGAATGAGCTGCGTGTCCAGCGTTAGTGAACTATATACGTCAATATTACAATCACTGAAATGAATACATTGGGATTCACTGAACAACACATAGAATCTTGAATATTAACTTATTCCCCGCTATAAGCATTAATAGTGACCGGTCATTTAAGAACTCTTGACCTTCATTTGATCCAATCCGCTTTCAACAAATCTACGCGACTGATGGTCTATTTCAGTTATAAAAGGCAGAAACAGAAAATTATTGGAAAACATTCGTTCTTTCAGCTTCTTTTCCTCCCCACTTCTGATTTGACATTTCATTTGTTAGTTGTCAAAACAAGCACTACTTCCATCCATTAATGATGCCAACGCGTGGAAATGAGGTCAAACACTGGTAAAACATTCAAGTGACCGACGAGAATGAGTTCGCGACAAGGTGTGAATCGGTGGCTCTCACAATAGGTCATTTCAGGTCATACATGAAGAAGCTAGGGAAGCAATCGTGTTAAGTAATTCAAAGATAAAATGCAGCCTGGTTGGAACTGCGAGAAGTCGAAACACACCCTCGTTTCGAGAAGTTAGACCATCAAGAATATCTATTATGAATTCCCTCTGTCCTCTGTTCGATCACTGATATTGCATCATCCCATACTTTGCAATTATGCGTATTTCTTCGTGATTATATGATAAAACAAGAACTGGAAGCGTATGTATTTTCACAATGGAAAGGGAGAGGTGCCACAGCCATTGCATTTCCAAACTTTCTATTTTACTAATCAGGTAAAGAATTCTCAATTAGCGGTAGTTGTTGGCATTCAGATCTAATTCTCTTGAGTTGATTGTTCTGGTAATTTCTATGATGCGTCATCTTATTGTGCTATAATACATCCCGCAAATTCTGACCACAGGAAATGTTTATGATCGTTGAATTGCAAAAAACTATTTTCTAATACTTTTTTCCATATTCACGATACTGAATTACACATATATGAAGGCTTAAACAGCACTTGCTTGTAATCTGGCATTATTTTTTGCCATTCTTCTTATGATGAATATAAAAGACTAGGCAACAAATTTTATCATTTCAGATTAAAAAAAAAGTTATAGAAGAGCTGGAAGAAGGAAATGGGAGATAAAAGGAGAAGAGGAATCAGAGAAGACGGTAATTTCGAATACGTAATCCGAAGACACTTCACTTTCATTTTCTCCGCCGTCTGCCCCTCCTCTCCCGCCCTCTCCTCCTCCTTCCCCGCCTCTCCTCCTCTTCTTCCTCTCCGCCACTCGTTCTCTTTCTCCTACCTCTCCTTTCCTCCTTCTCCCCCTCTTCGAAGAGAAGGAGGGGGAGGAGGAGGCGGATAAGGAAGAGAGAGGAGGAAGAGGAGGCGGAGACGGACAGAAGAGAGGAAGAGAGGAGGAGGAGCAGGAGGAAGGCAACCATTCCTGGCCTACTTGTTTCTGGTAAGTCTTTGCATCTGTACAGTTAAAAGAACACTGAATTGGCATATACGAACGCACTCATATATGTAAGGGGCCGTGTGAGATTATAATAGTTTTAATAAGACACTGACAACATTGCACATAAGCAAAGGTGTTCCCAAATCTTACAACTTTCTAATATAAAAGTTAGCCAAACACACTCTTCGAGAGACGAGAAAGCGCCCACAATAAGAACTATAAAAAGGTCATCATTGAAACACATTTTTATGTACATCCAAACATTTCTGTGTTATAATCAACATTCATCAGACTCATAATGCGTGAAATATATGCACCACATATCGCAATCTGAACAGCGTGTTATTTGCTGTTGAAAAAGATTAATACAACAACAATGCAAAAAGTACCTTCTCACCATGAGTAACAGACACGTAGATAGAAAAAAAAAACTATGTAAAGTTAAATACAGTAGCCCTCGCGTGTGGAAAAAGTGCATGCGATGAGTATGTCTATGCATGTGTCTGGGATTTGAGTGAGTGTCAGTGTGTATCTGAGCGAAAGAAATCGTAAAAGAAATTGTAGGCATATGTTGCATAGTCATTATGTTAGAGCTTAAGGGGACCCAGTGTCATCTCCAGTCATTCTCGCTAATCCTTTGAGATCAGAAGCACCAGAATTGCTAAGGAAAGTTCCAATTGAAAGTGGTCAAGCGCAAGAAAAACGTTTAAGTGACCGATAAGAACGAGTTCGCGACAAGGTGTGAATCGGTGGCCCTCGCGAGAGGTCACTTCAGGTCACCAATGATATTTTCACGATTTTTTTTCATGGTTTACAGAACTGAAATTTCAAAAAGTTTTATGCATTGATTGTCTGTGACAATTATATATCTAACGATTAATAACCCGCTAAATGTACATTTAATGAAAGACATAAAATGGTAGAGAAAAAGCGAGAGAGAGATTGAATGAGATTAATGAAAGAGAGAACATAACCATAGCATCCTGATAAGTAAGTCAGGCTAATGATGATGCGTCATTAATCATCATTTGTCGCCATGCAAAGGCCGCGAGCACGCATGACCTTTGGTGACCTCCCTGTTTGCCCAACCAATTCACACCTTGTCGCGAACTTGCTACTGCAGTCACGCTAACTCATCTTAAGGGATTATTATTTTTTTTTTTTTTCATCCGAATAGTTTTATACAAAGAATGACCTCAGGATGTTATTACAATAATTTGATAAGCAGACGTAGGGTCATGGTCACACCTGGAGCCGCAGAAAGTGCACCCCAACCACACACTGCAACGTTCAATCCACGCAACCAATCCACAACTGCCACAAACAGATCCAAGGAGGGAAAGAAGGCGGGGAGGGACGGAGGCGCAATGGCGACCTGGTCATCTGCGCCGTGTTTCCTTCATGTCGTACCAATTATTATAATTAAACCAAGTGTCAATATATATCATATACCAATTGTCATGTCAGCATCTAATATTAAACCAATTATTATGTCAATATATTTTAGTTCAATAATCATATTGATATTTTTTCATAT